TTTTCCATTATTAATAACAACAAACAAAGCCACCACCAATTCAATCCCACATGTCTAGTCTCATATGAAACTTTCCACAGGAGGGGCTCATCTGGTAAGAACAGTATCAAATTTCTTCATTAAAAAGTTACTTTTGACATCTAACTCATGTCCAACAAATCACCCTTAGGGCTTACAAACCAGCAAAATTCTACCTAAGTTTGCTCCTCTTTTTTCTCCATAAGCTACCTGGAACATTCTTTTCAAGCAATACCTGAGCTCAAAAGACAAATGAAATATGCTACCAGAAGGAGCCCAAAAGTGGCACATCAGTTTGGGAGAGGCTGAAAGCTAGACCAACCAGTCAACCAACCAGTCAACCAGCCAACCAACCAAAAAACCTGCCATAAGCCAGCCAACCAACCAACCTACCAACAAAACTATCAGAGCCTCTAGGCTAAGGTAACTAAGCTACCTGTTTCAATTTTGAACTTTGTCATGTTTGGGTATTCTGCACACTATGGCAATTCCAGAGTCAGAGCCAAAATCTGAGAGCTTCAGCTCTGTCTGTGCCACAAGGAGGAAATTTTTGAAAAAGTTACTTAGGGCCCAGCGCTGTGGCCTAGTGGCTAAAGTCCTTGCCTTGAATGTGCCAGGATCCCATATGGGTGCCAGTTCTAATCCCGGCAGCTCCACTTCCCATCCAGCTTCCTGCTTGTGGCCTGGGAAAGCAGTCAAGGATGGCCCAAAGCCTTGGGACCCTGCACCCACATGGGAGACCTGGAAGACACTCCAGGCTCTTAGCTTTGGATGGGCACAGCAGCAGCCATTGCGGTCACTGGGGAGTGAATCATTGGATGGAAGATCTTCCTCTCTGTCTCTCCTCCTCCTCTCTGCATATCTGACTTTGTAATTAAAGTAAATAAATCTTTAAGAAAAAAAAATACATATATATAAGAAAAAGTTACCTAACTGATTTTCCCTAAGCTGCTTCTGGGGGCGATAGCAGTGTGGTTGATGCTGGGTGTTCCTAGTCATGCTATTGTGAGCAGGAAATCAGATAAAGGTCAAAGTGCCTTGAGGTATTTGAATCTTTACATATGTGAGTGCTGTGGGAGGGGCTTGGGAATTCCCTTCCTCTCCTGTAACACAAGGCCTGAAAACACCCCACTGCTTTATCTGTAAGAAAGGATTTGTATCTATCTGTTGTCTATGGATGATGACACGGAGGAGAGTTGTGTAATAGAACTCTGTGTGTGGTGTCATCCTTTTTAGAAAATTAACCCAAGGTTTAGCCATCAAGCAATATGACTGATCTTTAAATAAACAAATCTAAGTGGGTGTTGCCCCATCCTGAATAGTGAGTAGTCATCCTGGCAAGCACAACACTTATTTAAATATTTCCTGTCACTCCAAAAAAAAAAATCTTTTAAACTCTTCTTTTGGAACCATTCCTAGAGCCTCTGGCACATACTTTTGAATATGTCTGAGGGTGACACATTTTTGTTCTTGGTGGATAATCCTCATTTTTGTAAACAGCGCCCAGTTATTTGGCAGGAAGTGTGGTAAATAAGCTAAGCCAGATCGTTGTTGTTGTTGTTATTGCAAATAAACAGTGACTGCAAGATAGGAGTCCATCTTTCAGTTTCCACTGAAGCTCCAAGTACTAGATTTCAAGACCAGCAATTTTGTTGGGAAGGAGGTGCTGTTCCCTATGGTGGCAAGAGAAAAATTCACTCAGAAAAATATTTTTAGTCACACCTTTAGTTATTTACCATGAGGGCCTATTTGCAAGAATGCCCTCTGACCTACTTTATCTCAAGCTTTGAGAAAGGAAAGAGCAGCTAGCACTAGGCATCTCTTTCAGGAATTTTATCACAGCTGCAGGGGGCAGCCAAAGCCCTTGTTTGCAAATAGATTAACTGGCTAGCAACAATACAGATGTTTCCAATATAGTAACATCTGGGGCTGTAGGAAAAAGCATTATAACTATTAGACTGTACATTTTCTTTAGAAGTTTGGATTTTTTTTTGCAGTTATGAAACAATAAAGTTAAAATGTCCCTGGTATCAACACAATGTGACGTGAAGTGACTGCTCCATTAGAAGTGCATCTGGTACAGGCAACTGCAATCGTAAGGGACAGGACGCCAGCATCCCAGGTAGAGTGTCTGAGTCCTGGCCACTTCATTTCCCACCCAGCTCCTTGCTAATGTGCCTGGCACATCTGCTTGGGCAACCTGGATGGAGTTCCCAGTAAGCCAGCAGATGGGAGATCTTTTTCCCTGCCACCCTGCCTTTCAGGACTGCATCCCTCCGCATGGCTAACGGCATGGGTAGACCACATTCTGCTTACTCCCTTATTTAGCGATGACTACTTGGTTTATCTTCACTCTATAGCTATTCTGACTTGTGACTATGGACACAGGGATACAAGATTTTTATGTGGATACCTGTTTTTGATTCTTTGAGATCCATATCCAGGAATAGAATGGCTGGGTAGTATGCCAAATTTTATTTATTTGTTTTTTTTTAATTGGAAAGTCAGATATAGAGTGAAGAGCAGAGACAGAGAGGAAGATCTTCCATTCCATGATTCACTCCCTAAGCACTCCCACAATGGCCAGAGCTGCGCTGATCTGAAGCCTGGAACCAGTGCCTCCTCCTGGTCTCCCACATGGGCACAGGGTCCCAAGGCTTTGGGTCATCTTCCACTGCTTTCCCAGGCCACAAGCAGGGAGCTGGATGGGAAGAGGGGCATCTGGGATTAGAACTAGCACTCACATGGGATCTCAGCCTGCGCAAGGTGAGGCCTCTAGCCGCCAGGCTACCACACCGAGCCCTAGGATGGCAATTCTATGTTTAACCTTTGGAGAACCCACTAAACTTCCAACTCATTTTTTAGGCTTACAATTTACAAGGTATCTTGATGACCACTTAGAAGTTGGACAGCTATGGCCAAACCCCAGGTCTGGCCAAAAGAAGTCTCTGCTTTCAGAAACACTGGTTCCAGCAGCCACGTTCACTGCATCTGAGCCGAGCCTGCTCCGAGACAAGGTTGCACAGAGAGATCGGTACAGCTTTTTCTGGCATTGTACATGTCACAACATGAACTGGCTAGGCAGGAACAGCTCCTGCCTTCCAGGCACCCTTCGCCTTCCATTATGTTACACACAATTTGGAGAAAAGCGAGATGAATGCCAACTGGCCCAATATAGAGGCTCCTCCCTCATCTTGCCAAGTTTAGATTGGCACCTATAGAGAATGCAGCTGGGACTGCCATCCGATCTTGGGCAGAGCTGGCCCTTAGATGGCAGGGTCTCCCTGAACAGTAGCTGGGACTAAAGATCCACCATCCAGTGTAGGCTTACACTTTGCCTGACAGTATCACCGGCAATTTTTCTTCTTTGGGGGCAGAGGCTCCCACCTGTTGGTTTCTTTGCCAAATGCCTGCAATGGCAGGGGCTGGGCTGAAGTCAGGGGCCAGGAATGGGCCCCAGCTCTCCCACATCAGTGGCAGGAAACCACATTTCTGTATCTCTCACTGTGGTCTCGCAGGCACTGGCAGGAGGCAGCACTGGCAGGACGCGGCAGGCAGGAGGTAGCTGCAAGTACTGACCTCGGGTCCTGGCTGCGAGGAAGACGCGGTGGCCCAGTGGTTTAGCCAAATGCCTGAGCCGCGCCCATTGGCTCGGTCCCCAACAAAGCCACAGCTGGGGAAGGGAGCTCCCCTGCTTGCAGACAGCGTGCCCCACGTCCTGGCCAGAGCACCAGGAGACACTCCTACTCCAGGCACTGCAGTCAGCCGCGACTGAGTCACGAGGCTTCTTGGTGACTGACTCAAGCCCCAGCCAAGTAACCCAGGAACATTGATTTCTATCTAAACTTAAACCTGCTCCTTGGCAGGTCAGAGCTGACCTTTGACCCCAACTGCCTATCACCTAGGAGGCTTCTGAGGGTTGGGGGCCCAAACCAAGACGTATCACACTGCATGGCCAAAACACAGGGACAGTCGGACGTGGCCTTTTGCACCTGACACTCAGTACTAAGTACGAGGAAGACAGCTTCCGGGACCTTCGCTTCGCAGTCCCCGGCGGTCACTTGCAGCCCCTTCCAGGTGTCCTGGACTGAAACGACTGCTACGACATAGATGGGGCAAAAAAAAAAATAATAATAATAAGCCTCCCTTGACTGGTCACATCCTCTTCAATCTGGCAGGAAACTTAAAATGCGCCTGCTCCCATCCTCGGCCTGTCTGCTTATCTGCTTCCTCGCCGGGAAGACTGCCTCACAGTGTCCGGTCCAGGGGAATTTTCACCATGACCTCACCCCATTCGCCATTCGCGGCGTTTGGGGTGCAGCCGGGGACGCACACCCGGGAAGACATCGGCAACGCGGCCGGCCGTGACCGTCAGGTTTTATTAATATATATATACTTTTTTCACCTCACAAACCAGAGCTGGGACTGCGGGGCGGCCACTGCCGACGCCAGGTCGCCCTCACGGCTGGGGAGAGCATCACGTCAGGCGAAATCTCGTCAAGAAAAGACACCCCCAAACTTCCCACGCTCGTGTCGGCTGCTCGGATAATTTCCGAGCTAAATGGCCCCGACGTAGGGCGCGGGGACGATGACGGCGGACGAGGCAGTGCGAGCGCCCAAGCAGCAAGCGGGTTCGGACCCGGCCGCCGCCTCCTCCAGGGTTCCCGGAAACAGCCCCGGCGCCCAGGAGTTGCGCGCTTTTAAAGGAAACAGAAAGTTGAGCTCGGCGGGCGCGCGCGCCAGGCGGCCCCTCACGTGACCGCGGCTCCGGGCGCGCGCCCCTTCCTCCCCACGACCAACGCACGCAAGGCCGACCGCGAGCGCGTGACTCGCCGGGCCCGGAGGCGGCGTGCGTGCGCGTCCCCGCGAGCCGGCGGGCGCGCGCACGCCCCGGGGGCCACCGCCCCTCCCGGGCCCGCCCTCCTTTCCCCTCCCCTCCCCGGTTCGCCTAGCCCGCCCTGCCCGGCCCGCCCTTGCGAGTCAGTTCTCTGGTTCCCTCCCTCCGCGGGCGCGCTCGGGCCGCCGCAGCGCTCCCCGCCCTCGAGCCGCGGTGCCGGAGCCGCCCGCCGCCCGCGAAGGAGGTGGAGGGAGCCGGAGGGGCCCGCCGAGGCGGCGGCGGCGGCGGCGGCGGCGGCAAGATGGCGGACTTCCTGCCGTCGCGGTCCGTGCTGTCCGTGTGCTTCCCCGGCTGCGTGCTGACGAGCGGGGAGGCCGAGCAGCAGCGCAAGTCCAAGGAGATCGACAAATGCCTGTCCCGGGAGAAGACCTACGTGAAGCGGCTCGTGAAGATCCTGCTGCTGGGCGCGGGCGAGAGCGGCAAGTCCACCTTCCTCAAGCAGATGCGGATCATCCACGGACAGGACTTCGACCAGCGCGCGCGCGAGGAGTTCCGCCCCACCATCTACAGTAACGTGATCAAAGGTGCGGGGCCCTGGGGGCGCGGAGACCCCGGGGGTGCGGTCACGGGGCCGGACACCGCCCGCGTCCGCTCGGGTGGGGGGGACCCGGCCGAGGACCGGGCCGCGCAGGGCGAGAAGGGGGCGCGCCCCGGGGCTCGGCTTCTGCCCGGCCCGCCCGAGTGCCCTCGCCCCTTAGGGGAGAGGGGAGACGATGCCCGGAGGCACCTGAGGAGGGTGGGGGGGTCACGGCTGGACCCGCTCACCCCACCCCGACCGCTGGCCTCGCCCCCTCCAAGTGGAAAGTTGGGGAGAGCCAGGTGCCATGGGCTCTGCGGGGTGGCCTCTCCCGGAGTCCTGCCTGCAGATGGGGCACGAAGACCCGAGAGAGGGGTCCCAACCCCACAGCCCGCCCCGGCCGCCTCTGGCCCGCCCGGGTGGGGTGATCCGAACGCAGAAGGTCTGGTGCGCTCCCGGCTTCCCTGGGCCGCCTTCTGAGCGAGTTCTGGAACTGTCGCAGTCAGGAAACTTTTGCCTCAGACTCTTGTCAAGGGCGTAAGAGTGACAGCCCTTGGGGCTTTCGGGGGTCCAGGATGTGGAAGCTGGAGGGTGTCACTTTGATGTCGTAGCCTCAGGAAAGCCTAGACCCATACCTTTTCGGGTTCTCGCCCGGTTGTCCCGATCCGCCACCAGGCTCTATGTGCTGTGTGCCGGTTGCACACCCTGTCCTTTTATGCTGAATAACTGGGCAGGGAATGGGGTACCAGCGCTGCCTTTTCTGTTTGTACCAAGTTGTGTAGGCATTGGAAGACTGGCCTAAAAGGAATGCGGGTTGTGCCCAGGTCAAGTCGGTGACTTACTGTTAGGTAGGCTAATGGGCTCCGTTCCTTTTTGACAGTGTTGTTCAACTTAAACCGTGTTGTTTGGGGGGTGGTGTGCACATGATCTTTTATTTCTGGACGGTCAAGGAAGTTGAGAAGATAGCCTCTGTTTTGGCATTTGAAAGATAATCCGCACTCCATTTTCTTGAGTTGGGTCTTTTCCACAGAGAAGACTTCTTGGCCAAATGGAGCGTCTGCACCTGGTGTGTCTGGTGCGCCGCGGTTCTGTCTGGGGAGCTGCGTGTCCAGGAGTTTGCTCAGATGCTTGATCTGGGTTGCTTCCTATTGCAAGTATTCTGAGCAGTTTTTCAGTGGGATTTTTGTCCAGGAAGTAGAGAAGCTGCTGCTTCAGGTCACTCCCCCACCCCTCAGGGCTTATGTAGAGCTGCCCAGAGGGGAAGGCATTGTGGGGTGCTGGCTGGAGAAGTGAGGCTGGGAGCTTACCCACAGGCAGCGCTCAGCCCTGGAACCTGTGCAGGTGAGCTGTACAGAAGAGCTGTGTTTCGCCTGCTGTGACGTTTAGGACAAAGCTCTAGGCCCGAGACTGCTTGCTGGTCTTCTCTTGGAGGTACTGCAGTGCAGCACAACTTCATGTCATGGTCGTCAGTAGATGCAGCTTGTGCACTGCCACTGGCTCTGGAGGCTGGAGACCAGCTGGGTCCTTCCACAACGCCCGCTTGGAGCACGGATGGAGAGGGGAGGCAGCTCATGTCACGCAAGCATTATTTCTAAACTGGCATGGTCAGGACATTAACAGCAAAATCATTTCTGGATTATCCAAATAGTTGACTGGCTAAGAGCCACGTGACTGTCAGGTGCACCAGAGGTAGCAGTTTACCTGTAGAAATGTTGATTTTGCCCTGGGCCTTGTGAGTGGTAATTTGTTTGGGGGTGTTTTTGCAATTGGCCTTCCTCCCTGCTAGGGAGGTGTGAGACCCCTGTGGCCCACACAGATTTGACCTGATGTGAGAGAGAGAAGCTGGGCTCCGGGACCAAGGGGATGGTGAACTGGACCAACTGGATGCTGAACTCTGGGGCTGCTTCTCACTGTGGAAGAGCTAAGTGTCTGTCAGCTTGCATGGTCGCCTTCATAGCTTGGACACGGGGCTCTGCAGCATCGTGTCTCTCTAGTTTTCTTCTGAGCACCATCAAGCCCAGAAGGCTCGTTACAAATTGCTACATGTTACAAAGTCCTTGGGAAGAACAGTTGAGCTGTTAGTATTTACTCTCCAATGCTCTAAGTTTACAACTTGAAGCAACTGTTTTTTGTTTTTTGTTTTTTTTAATATATATAGCTGAGAAGATCCTGGGAGCTGTTTTGATTTTGGTCTCTATTTTTGGAGGAGGACTGGAGTAGTTTAAGGAAATAATATTGAAATTAAAACTTGGGGTCATGTCTCATGATTCTTGTCCCATTTTCATTTGTCTTTTTGAACAAAGGTATGAGAGTGCTGGTCGACGCTCGAGAGAAGCTTCATATTCCCTGGGGAGATAATGCCAACCAGCTTCATGGAGACAAGATGATGGCGTTTGACACCCGGGCCCCCGTCGTGGCCCAGGGCCTGGTGGAGACACCCATCTTCTTACAGTACCTTCCGGCTGTCAGAGCGCTCTGGGCGGATAGTGGCATCCAGAACGCCTATGACCGGCGTCGGGAATTCCAGCTGGTAAGATTTTGTTCTTTTAAAACATCATGGTTTTATTTTTAAAATACTGACAAATGTCTAGCTTTAGCACACTTTTTTCTTTTACTTCCACAGTACAGTTTGTCCAAAACTGCAAAAATGTAGCATCAGATACTGGGAGTGCTCTATGGTGAGGTTTTTAGTATGATATTTAGCAAATAAGACAAATGTGGATTTGATGAACCTCTTATTCATTTTTCCTTTTTAAAAGTGAAGTTGTGATTTTCTTAGATTTTGCTCTCTTTTTCAAAATCATTTTCTCCCTGTTTTGGCGATAAGGTCCTTTGAAGGTTTTTGTTCCATCAAGCAGTTTGTAATTTAATTGTTGCTACTTTGGATTAGATTCTGGGTTCTATTCGCCAAAGACCAGAGAGCTTGTGATAGAGAAATCAACTGTGTGCCCTTTCGAAGTGATTCGCATCTGAAGGGCTTCGCTATAAAATGTCTAAAGTATAGTCAAAAAGAAAACTGCTTAGAAAGTTTAATGATCTCACCAGCGCTGCCGGGTGTGGCCACCCCGGGAGGAACAGCCTGCAGTCTCTGCTGTCACAGTTTGTACTCAGGAGGAGGCTGGGTATTCAGTTACTGCAGAAGTGTTCCTGGTAACTTTGCAAAGCTGACACCTTCATCTTAGCTTTCTGTGACTTTTGGCTGTTACGTACATCATCATATGATTACAACTTGACTGTTCTTTTTCTTGTGTGTGTGTATCCGGTAACTTGCCCATTTCTGATACTCAAGGACTATCTCACATTATTGTAAATAGTGAGCAACATTATATGTTAAAAACTGCAACTTGACAGGTGACTTTCAGCGAGTTCCCAGGTTTCTGATTCCTTTTGTTCTGTGGGGCTGTTGAGCTGTGTGACTGCCTCCAGTTCCACTGCCTCCAGTGCTGCTTATTTTCTTTAGTTCATTTTCTTTTTTTTTTAATAAGTTTTTAAAAAAGGTTTATTATTTATTTTTATTATAAAGTCAGATATACAGAGAGGAGGAGAGACAGAGAGAAAGATCTTCTGTCTGATGATTCACTCCCCAAGTGACCGCAACGGCCGGTGCTATGCCAATCCAAAGCCAGGAATCAGGAACCACTTCCAGGTCTCCCACGTGGGTGCAGCATCCCAAGGCTTTGGGCTGTTCTCAACTGCTTTCCCAGGCCACAAGCAGGGAGCTGGATGGGAAGTGGAGCTGCCAGGATTAGAAATGGTGCCCATATGGGATCTCGGCGTGTTCAAGGAGAGGACTTTAGCCGCTAGGCCACGCCACCGGGCCCAGTTCATTTGCTCAACAGTCCATGTTCTTTAAGCTTTCTTAGGCTCTGGAGTCATCTTTCCAAGGTCAGGGCAAAAGCATGCATCTGTGATAAGCATCTAGTACATACTGACTGAATGAATAAATGAACAGCTGTGCACCTTGAAGTTCCTGTGTGAAAGTTCCATATTTGCCCTTTACCATTTCATTAAAGTTGGGCTTTAGGGACTTTAAAAATTAGTGCAGTCATGTCCTGTCAAGATGGGCAGAAGGCACCGAGTGTATGTCATTCAGAGCACGCAGGTAGGGCTGCTGCATGGGACCTGTGTGTTGTTGACTTGAGGAGTCAAGAAGACCCCACGTGAAAGAGTCGAGGCCCAGACATTTGTTGCTCCACAGGAAAGAAGAGGGTGAAATGTAATTTTTAAACTTCTTGAAGACAGAGGTTTTTCTCTTGGGTAGTAGCCCTTGGCACAGGTCGTAGGTGCCCAGTAAATATGTTGCATGAATGACTTATGTCTGCCTTTGGAATGCTGTCTGGTGTTTGGCAGTGTTAGGTGCTCAGGAGGCACACCGCCTGTTTACAGTGAGCCTTGGGACATTGTCAGCCCTGCTCACCCACAGGGAGCCGGTCCGGAAGGGCCATCTCTTCTCGCCCTCTTGCATACAGTCCCATCTTCCCCTTAATGTGTCTGTCCTGGTACATCTTTCCTGGACCTCAAGGAAGTTTTGTTTGCACACCGCATGCATGGAACACATGGTCATTCTCTGTTACCTCTAACTCTCTTTGTGAAAGTCAGGACTAAGACTTCAGGTCAAACATAATTTCATTCTTTAATTCACTTCATTCATTCACACCCCCTGATTTTCTGCACACCCCACGAGTGTCTGTGTAGCCCTGTGGCAGAATGTCTCCTTACCAAGCCTGTATCTGGCCATTAGTCTTTATCCTTTCTTCACTTAGAGCAGTGGACTCAGAGTTGAATGTGACTGAATGCAGGTGCATCAGTTTCTCATCTGGGATGCTCAGTAAAGCAAGCCAGTTTCCGGATTGCAGCACCTGAGGGTCTGCAGGAGTCCGGAATGGGACGCAGGGATTAATGTTAGCAGTAGGCAATGTGGTTGAGTTTGTTACGTGCCCCATGGCCACGCCTCCTGTGTCCACGGGCTTCCTCCTGGACAGGACCCCACACCCCGCGTCTTCCCTCTGTGCTTGCTGGTGGTCTGGGTGCTGCCCGCTTACCTTCGTGCATGGCCACGTCACTCACACGGGAGCATGTCTCTCACATACCTTTTTTTTTTTTTCTTTCTTACTCACATAGAGTGTGACATTTAAGTTTATTTCCTCATTTTTGTAAACCCTCTGAATTACAAAGATCTGCTAGGGAAAAAGTTGCTCATCAAGTTTCTTCTGCAGAACATGAATTACTTATATATGCTAGTTGTATAATTTTCTGAGATAGGAAGCCCTTGTATGTTTATAACTTGTGTTCTTATGTTTGACAGCATGTGCTCTTAGGTTTTGTATAAAAAGGATCAACATTGGGGAGATGGGAGGAATTATCAGATAAAGTACAAATCAGAGTTAGCTTTTCTGTTTCAGCTAGTTGACTATTGAACTTATTGAAAAAATTGAAAAAATAGTTGTTAAGTTCTTTGTGACATTTTGCTTAAAATGAGTGACTGCCCTCTTTAGTTTTTAGACAAGGGGTAGAGTTGTGACAGCAAAGCTTACATTTTTTTTAAGTAATTGTTTATTTTTGTTTAAAAAGCCGAATTACAGAGAGCAAAGGAAAGATCCGTCTACTGGTTTACTCCCCAAGTGGACACAACAGCTCGAGCTGGGCTGGTCCAAACAGAAGCCAGGAACTTCTTCCAAGTCTCCCATGTGGGTACAGGGACCTCCTGTGCTTTCCTAGGCACATTAGCAGTGAACTGGATTGGGAGTAGAGCAGCAGAGCTTGAACCTGTGACCACATAGCATGTTGGCGCTACAGACTGATGCTTAACCTTCCACACTATGGCACAGACCCTGATCTACCTCCCTGCCTCCCAGCTTAACTTTGTTTTGTCTTGCTTTGCTTTTTTTTTTAACATTAATTTTTTACTGGAAGTTAGATATACAGAGAGGAGAAGAGATAGAGAATAAGATCTTCCGTTCGATGATTCATTCCCCAAGTGACCGCAACAGCTGGAGCTGTGCCAATCCGAAGCCAGGAGCCCAGAACCTCTTCCGGGTCTCCCACGTAGGTGCAGGGTCCCAAGGCTTTGGGCCATCTTCAACAGCTTTGCCAAGTAGGCCAAGCAGGGAGCTGGATGGGAAAAAGGGGCCGCAGGGATTAGAACCGGTGCCCATATGGGATCACGGCACCTGTAAGGCGAGCACTTTAGGCACTAGGCTACCATGCCAGGCCCCCAGCTTGACTTTTTTAATAGGCCACTCTTTTGCCACTAAAAACTTTTAGTCAAATGTGATTGGTTTTCTTCCCAGGTCCCCTAGGCAAATATTTCCTTTTTGTTTAGTTCTACTATGGGTAAGATAATTAGCTTACTGTAGAAAAGGAAAGTCTAAGATTCACCTTCTTGTGTAACTTAAAGTATTTTTCTGGTTATTAAGAACTAGCACATTACGGGCCCGGCGTCGTGGCCTAGTGGCTAAAGTCCTCGCCTTGAAAGCGCCGGGATCCCATATGGGTGCCGGTTCTAATCCCAGCAGCTCCACTTCCCATCCAGCTCCCTGCTTGTGGCCTGGTAAAGCAGTTGAGAATGGCCCAAAGCCTTGGGTTCCTGCACCCTTGTGGGAGACCCAGAAGAAATTCCTGGCTCCTGGCTTTGGATTGGCATAGCATAGCATCAGCCGTTGCGGTCACTTGGGGAGTGAATCATTGGACGGAAGATCTTCCTCTCTGTCTCTTCTCTCTGTATATCTGACTTTGCAATAAATAAATAAATCTTTAAAAAGAATTTCTTAAAAACAAAAAGAACTAGCACATTAAGCATAATAGAAGAAAATAATGATTAAATGTGATACAGAGCGTGTGCACCGTAGCCTGCTCCTGCACCGTGGCATTCCTGCCCTCGGGAAAGCTTCTCAGGTGATAGCCGCAAGGGCATCTGGGAACGTGGGTGGCGAAGGGGCCGATGGGGCCCCGGGCTGGCTCGGGTGTGGTGTGATTGCACGTGTGGACCAGAGCTAACAGCGGGGTCACTAGGCTACCTCACCTGGGTCCTGTTGCTTAGTTTCTTAATGGAAAGTGTAAGCAGTGCTGGTTAGGTAGGTGGGACAGTTGTGTGGTAGTGAAATGAATACCCCACAGCTTCCCAGTTTCTATAAATAGTTTTAACACTGTCAGCATTAATACAACTTCCTGTAATGACCAGTCTGTCTTCCCAATTCCTGAAACCAAAAGATGTTCTCTTTTGGTCATGGCTCCTCGGGTTCGGCTTAGTTTTTCTTCCGCTAGTAATACAGTCTGCTTGCCAGAGTTAGGCTTCTGCCCTCTGATGGATGGGCAGCTTATTCATAAGGCAGCATCTCCTGTCAGTCTGCATAACAAAGGAACTGTTCCGATCGAGGTTTGGCCTGTGAAAAGGAGTGTGAGCCAAGTAAAACCAGAAGCTTTGTTATGGCTTAAGTAGTGATTTATGCTGCAACAGTTGTTTGAAATACAAAATAATCAATCATTTGTTGATTCTTTAACACTTATTTGGACTTGAGTTAAAAAGCTAAT